AACAATTTACTTCCAAAAGTTTGAAATTAAAAAAAAAAATTGTAAAATAAAAATAATTAATGGATGATTGTGCCATATATAGTAGAATACTATTATAAATCTACAATCAAATTAAGTGATTAGCTCAATTTGAAGAAAGACATATTGAGATTAGAGAAAATTTCTTAGCTAAGTTAATTAAGAAAGAAAGTTCAAGAGACCAAAAAAATACAGTTAAGAAATTTTCTTTTATCTTAATATTTCTTCCTTCAGATTGAGCTAGTTGCTCGATTTGACTATAAATATCTAATACTATTCTCATGTATATAGCAAAGTCATCCACTAATTATTTTTAATTTATTAATTTTTTTAATTTTTAAACTTTTGGAACTAAATTGTTACATTTTTAATGATCTTGTAAATATTTTATTCTCATTGTAACAAAAAGTTAACAGATTTCAATAGTCTAGGAGCTAAAATCTTCAAACCTTTAAGTTTAAGGGCTAAAAACTTCATAGTATAAGATGAGGGGCTAAAAGCTTCAAACTTATCAAGGTAAAGAGCTAAATGCATACTATAGTCCACCTTTAAATGTCCACTACAAGTTATCCAAAGGTCCCAAACAAATTTCTATCACAAAAGTGGACATTCTTGTAGGAGCAAAACACTATCCCCATTAACCCAAGTTACTTCCAAATACATTTTGAATTTCACACTTGGCACTGTAGAATAAAATTTGGATAATGGTCTACCTAAGTGAATTAAGGTTATTCGGACCAGCAGTGGTTCGAAAAAATTTAATCTAGAAGCTTATTCTCTCATATGTTTTTATTCTTTTCATTTAAGGACAACACCACCCTCCCGAGCCCTGATTTTGAATCTACCAAAACCATCTGCATCCACTTCATTCCTATAGTCCCCCCTAACCTGGCACCCTCAATAGTCACCTAAAATTGGTTAACAATGGAATAATGCCACATCATTACAAAACCGCAAACGCGTAGCCTTAAGGTCATTAACTTTAAGGTTATCCCACATCGTTGCAAGACCACAAATGCATAGACTTAAAATTATTAGGGTTAAGGTTAGGCTCTTTGGTATTCAAGGCTTTCAAATCTTGTGGTTTAAAACTAGAGTAAAACAAATTGGGCATGGTTTCAGGTGTTAGGAGAAAACAAGGATTCTGGGTAACCATATTTGGACCACTATCAATTCAAACAACTTATTTGGACTGATAGTGGTATGAAAAAACTGCTAAAATCTAGAAGCTTCTCTTCCCATACTTTTTTATTCTTTTCATTTAAGGACCACACCATCCTCCGTGTCCCAATTTCGAATCGACCGAAACCAGCTACACCCACTTCATTGCTATAGTCCTCCCTAACCTGGCACACTCAGTTTGTCACCTGAAATCGGTTAATGGTGGTGTAAGGCCACATCATTATAAAACCACAAACTCGTGGGTTTAAGGTTATTAACTTTAAAGTTATACCACATGGTTGCAAAACCACAAATACATAGACTTAAAATTATTAGGGTTAAGGTTAGGCTCATTGGTACTCAAGGCTTTCAAATCTTGTGGTTCAAAAGGAGAGTAAAACGAATCAGGCACAATTTGAGATGTCAGAAGAAAAAAAGGATTCTAGGCAACCATATTTAGACCACTATCGGTCTATTTGGACCAACAATGGTCCGAAATAATTACCTAGAATCTAGAAGCTTTTCTTGTCATATGTTTTTATTATTTTTCTTTAAGGACAACACAACCTTCTTGTGCCACAATTTTGAATCTACCAAAGCCAGTTGTGTCCACTTCACTGCTATAGTCTCCCCTAACCCTGGCACCCTCGATTAGTCACCTAAACTCAGTAAACAATAGCGTAAGGCCACATCATTGCAAAATCACAAACATAAGGGCTTGAGGTTATCAACTTTAAGGTTATACCACATCATTGTAAAGCCACAAATGCGTAGACTTAATTAGGGTTAAGGTTAGGCCTTTTGGTATTCAAGGTTTTCAAATCTTGTGGTTCAAAATGAGAGTAAAATGAATCAAGCATGGTTTGAGGTGTCAGCAAAAAAAAAAAAGGGATTTTGGGCAACCATATTCAAACCAATAATGATCCGTATATATTTACCACCTTTAAAAAAAAAAACTCTTTTCAATCTTTTATGTTTGTTTGGAGTGTTTTTTTATTTAATAAATATACAGACCGCAATTGGTCTATATATATTTATCGCCTCTTCCACCAAAAATTTTGAACAAAAAATTTAAAAATTTTGCATTATTCAAACCAATAGTGATTTGAAATATTAAACTACAAAAAATTTCCCTTGCATTTGAATTTCACATTTGGCACTATATGATAAGCTTTCCCTTATTTTGGACCAAGTATGGTTTGCAATAAGTTCTCCTATATATTTCAATGTCTACTCCCTCTTCCTCAGAATTTTCTTCTTTGCCTTTTTTGTGCTATCCTTCTCCTTCTCCCCATTTGCTTTCTTGTTCCCCTCTCTTCTTTCTCTCATACTCCTATTTTCTCTCCTTCCCCTCATCTTTGTGTTGCCTCTTTCTTCCCATCCCTTTGTTCCCTTCTTCCTCTCCCTTTTTTCCCTTCTTCCTATCATTTTTCTCTACTCCTCTTTCTTCTAGTTTGGTTCCCTTCACTTCCCTTTTATTTCTTCCACTTTTCTATATACTTCTTAACTACATTTTCTATATCTATTTTTTTAAAATTTATCTTTTGTTTTTATGTTACTAATTTATGATAATAGTTGGATTTAATTTTAATTTTTCTTGTTTTACTAACCTTTTTTTTTTGTAGGATATTATGAAAAATTGGATGAATCCTAAATTTTGCTTCTATATATATATACTTGCTTTCTTTTAATACTTTTCTACTTTCATTTTATTTTATTAATTCCATTTCTTATATTTTTGTAGAAAATGATCAAGTTTACAAGGTAAAATTGGTGTGAGTATTATTTTGTATGCTATTTGTAATGTATATTATAGATTTTTATTAACTTTTATTGTAATTGTTTTTAAGCATTTAAGTATTTTTTGGCTTTATTTTTTATTTATAATTTCAATTATTATGTTGAAGTTTTATTTTTCACTTAGTATATGTTGTATATTTTAATTTTAATTTAAGAAATATTTTACATGTAAATATTATATAATATGATATATATTACTTTTAGTTTTTATAATTTGTAACTATTTGTATGAAGAAAAAAATATTTTTTGGGAATTTTTTAGACATATAATATATTAAGAAAATAAAGAAATTTATTTTCTATTTTACTTTTTTTTGTGCCAGATTGTTATATTTCATATCACAATTGGTTTAAATAACTTTTTGATTAAAATGTTGAACCAACTACCAAATTTTTCCTTTTTGCAAATGAGTCCAATTATTTTCAAACCATTATTGGTCCAAAATAAGATTAAGCATAGTACCATATAGTGACCAAACTTTTCATTTTTTTTTAAATAAGGCCATCAATTTTTGGACCATTACCGAACTAAAATTAACCGTAGTTTTTCAATTTTGTGGTTAAGGCCAATATATTTCAAACTATTATCGGTCTAAAATTTTTTGCATATTCATATCGTAGTTGGTTTGGAAATTGTAATTATTTAGACCGACTTTGTTTTGGCTCAAGCTATTTCTCAGTCAAAATGTCGGCCTTAGTTTTTTCTAGACTAATTCCAGTCTGAAAATTAATTTTATTCAAACTGACTTTTCACTGGTATGAAATTTACGTTATTTTGACTAGGTTTTTTCAAACCAACTATCCAAATCAATACTGTTCTGAATAAGTATATTCAAATCGATTTTTTGGTCTGAAAAGTATGTGTTTCAGGTAGTGCTAAAAGAATACAGCCAATAAATTTTCTTTAATGTTAGTCAAATTATTTTCCTTAGATTGAGCTAATCATTCGATTTAAAGTTGCATACAAATAAAAATTAATATTTGTTAGCCTGAAATTAAAAACAAACAAATTTAAAATTGTAGTTATATATATAAGATGCAAGAACTGGTTGAATTGATTGTACTTATATCATATTTCAATAGCTAATCTAGGATGAATGTTAGAAAATGTATTGAACTGAGTGTGGATTAATTATTTTCCAATATAGAATTGATGTAAAACCCCTTAAAATTAAAAATGTTTTGTTGAGAATTGAAGTAAGAGTTTCTTAAACTTACATCACTATAAGTTGATTCTTACTCTTTATATTATAAGAAGAAATATGATTTTTGAAGGAAAGTTTTAAATAAGAGACTGAGGAAAATTAGGATGCCTTGACAATTTTTTTTTTTTTTAATGTACTTGAACAAGTGGTTCAAGCTCATGGGGAAGGAAATGGGGAAAGAGGACGTTTTGACTATTAAAATTTTAAGATTGTCCATGAAAAGCCTTAAATACCCTTAATGAATTGAAACATAAGAAAGATTTATTAAAAATATTTGAACAATTTTATGGGTAATCTTGACATTTTAAATACTCAAACATCCTAATTTTTACTTTTTTATTTTAATAATTAAACTAATTTTTAGCAATACGATGGATGGAGTTCTTAAGGCAAAGAGATAGCACAACAATTTCATTGGCAATGAAGATTGGAATTTTTGTGGATGTGCGCGCCAGGTGTTTGCTAATTCGTCTGAATGGGATGTGGATTACTGTTGTTATGTAATGGAATATGCTGCAATACGGATTGCAATGTATAATAGTTCTGGACTGATAGCTCTATTTTCCTCATGTATTTGAGTGTTTTGTGAATAAGCATATCGGGTGGCTGATTAAATGTAAAGGATGTACTGACGATAAAAAAATAAAAAATGTAAGGGATGTGCTGAAATATGTATAAAACTTTTGTGGAAGTATTTGTGGACCAGTTGTTTTGGATTTGGGTATAAGATATTGCCATTTTTAAAGAAAAGAAGATAATGGAGAAACGTTTTAAAAAAGCCATATTCCAGTCCCACATTTCTTTGTCAAAGAATCTGGTGCTTGTTTCCGTAATCAAAGGATATTTTCAATTTTCAATGCATTGTCTTGTCTTCCTCTGCCAATATAAGGACCTCAGTTGATGGCAGAAACTCAACGAATTGAACAAAGCAAATAATCACATTAATTGATTGTAAGTTTTTTAACTAAGTGAAGAAAAATGTCGACCTCTAATGGCTGCAGCAATGGGGTTCAGGCTTGGGGAAACAGTGTCAAGAACAATCGAACCAACAACGTTGGCACTGGTTCTGGAAGCCAGACCATTGGCCAGGGTTCTGGATCTAACCACGTTAGTGGTGGAATATTGTGGACCGTCAGCCCAGGCTTTGCCAGTCCTTGTGCCCAAGGCTTTGCCAATCCTTGTGGTGGCGCTCCTATGAATGTAGGCCCTTGTGCTGGAGGATGGAATGGGGGTTCTGCTTCTGGAAGTCTCAACAATTTCAATCGACAAGCAAATATTGGATGCAAACCCCTTGTTGGGAGTTGTAGTGTGTTTACCTAAAAAATATAGCAGCAAACACTTAATTATGGTATTAAACAAGTCCTGTTGCTATAAATATCAATAAATTATGCTGCTCTGTTACTATTACTACTGGACTGACAATCAACGTCTACTAGATTAAACTTTCTGAAATTGGAGCATCAGCAGGGCCAATTCTACTATTATATACAAGAAGCCATTTTTTTGTCTAAAATTATGCATCCTATACTAATAATTGCATAAGGATGTAGTCTAAACAGGTTCAACATTTTTTAAGAAAAAAATTGGATGATGTTGAAGGGAAGTAGAGTTCAACACTTACAAGATAATTGATATATATATATATATATATTCTTTGGTAATTTAGAGAGTGATTTACTTGATATCATAAAGGTTTAAATCTCTGACATTGACCCCAAATCAAGATTTTTAAATTAGTGGCTACAACCTTGGCTAAGTTTCAATTGGTACAACATAATCAATATTGAATAAAAAAACCCTACTTCCTATCAAAAATTAATTAAAAGTCTACTTGAGCATGAAACGAGCATGGACCTGGGTCTAAAACACTAATAACATAACCAACTTTTAGGTTAAGATTTCTGTGACTCTTAAAAATTCAAACTCAAATTATTAATTAGTAATGGTAGTTTGTGAACTAAAAGTACGTTTGGTTTGAGGAGAATAAATAGAAAGGTCTAAAACTCTAATAACATAACCAACTTTCAGGTTAAGATTTCTGTGACTCTTAAAAATTCAAACTCAAATTATTAATTAGTAATGGTAGTTTGTGAACTAAGAGTACGTTTGGTTTGAGGAGAATGAATAGAAAGAATGAGTTTTTTAATTAATCAAATTATAACTTTCAAATATTGCAATTTAATTGGTCAAAAAATTCATCCTTCCTCTCCTCTCCCCTCTCCTTAAAACCAAGCATAACCTAAGATATTGAATAGGAAAGGATAATATATATGTTTCATTAACCGAGTGGAGCAACAACGTTTTATAGTGTTTGAGAACTAATAACTTGTTGGGTTTGAGAGAAGGGAAGGAGACAGGGAGAAAATTATTATAACCAATTAAATTATTTTATTGGTCCAATAGCTTACTTTAATTGGTTAAAATAAAGTCACTCTCTCTTCTCCATTTGCTTCTATTTCTCTCAAATTAAACACGCAATAAAATATCACATAGAGAGGAAATCTAATCGTAGTATGATTTGAGTTTTTTTTTTTTTTTTGAATTAGCTTGAGCAAATCCATAATATAACTCAGAATATGGGCTATAGCACCCACTGTACTCTCAATAATATTAAGATTTTCTTTTACTTAAAAAAAATAATGTTAGGTTCCAAACCAATCCAAAAAAAAAATTATAAAAATGTTCTACCAAAATATATAGACTTGAGAATCTTGTAATAAAACCTGTCTGGCCTAATTAGTAATTTATCGGTGTTCGAAAAGAAAAAAAAAACCACTCTAATCTCACTACAATTGATCTAATTATTAAGCAAATGTGGAAGTGGAAATGTGAGAAGACTAAAGATGCTTTTACTAAGTTAAGAGAAAATATGTAGTTTAAATATTTATTGTCAATTGATTTTAAGTTAAATATTCATCTTGTATTAATTTCAACCCACATGTCTACCTTCCTCAAGATGTGAGAACCAGATCAATTTTACATTTGGAGTTATGAATGCAAAAGAGATAGCAATCAAGCGAAGGGAATCTAAGTAAGATGAATACGAGAAAAGAAACAAAAAAAATGATAAGCAAACGCGTTAGGATGCCATATTCCATTCCCCACATTTCTTTAAGCATTTGTCAAAGAATTTGGTGCTTTCCATTAATCCAAATACTTTAAATTATTTTAATGCATTATCTTATCTTCCTTCGCCTATATAAGGACCTCAGTTGATTTGGCAAAAACTCATCAAAGAGAACAAAGCAGAGAATCAAATTACTTGATTGTAAGTCTCAAGTGAAGAAAAATGTTGACCTTCGGTGGGTGCAACAATGGGGTTTAGGCTTCAAACACTGGTGTTAGCAACTGTGGAGCCAGTAACTTTGGCACTAGTTCTAGAAGCCAAAACTGTAATATCCCAAAATTTTTGGAAATTTTAGATATATATATATATATATACATGAATATGCTAGTACAAATGAATTTAAATTTAAGTTAGGGACTTATGTGGAAGAAATTATTATTGCTGGACCTAATGATTAAAATTCACTAACCTAAGGGGGGGTTAAAAGAAAATTTAGTGATAAAAGGGGTTAAGGTTGATTTTCCTTTTTCTCCTTGCCCTTTTTACGGGTGCCCCCAGCTTCTCACCAAAAGTTTGCCTCCACAAGCCCTAGCCTGTGCTCAACACTTCCTCATTGGAAAAACAAGGTGAAACTTAGCTTTTTCTTCCTTCTCCTAGCAAGGGTTAGAGATTTATGAGCTTATAGATCTCAAAATGATGATCAAAACCCAAATCTTGCTATTGCTTCCCCCAATTTTTTGGTCCATGTTGGGTTCTTGTGTAATGTAACGGGAGGTCACATCTTTCCAGCACTTTCTAGTAAGAAATCAGCCACATGCTCATCTTTTCATCTTTGATTTGATTTGGGTTAACTCTAATCCTTTAGAGTTTTCAATTTGGGAGTGTTTCTATAGTTTCCCCCCTTGATTTTATCCATAATCTAATGCTACCAAATCTAATCCCTTCTGTTGGAAAATTCTAATAGCATGACCTTACAGTAGTATCTTGTCATAACTCTTTCTGTAGCTATTTTGATTATATAGAAAGTTAAGAGATAGCTCTACAGTTTTTCTATTGGACGTTTAATCTAGTTAAGTTGTTTTCAATGTGAAAACTCTACTGCAAATTCGGTTCCTAAAAGTGGACAGAACTGGCAGCCTGACCTTATGTTAGTATTTTTACCATAACTTTCTCTATAGATGTCGAATTAAGGTGATTCTTGATCCTGTAGAAAGCTAAGAAATAGGGATCCAATTTATCTATAAACCATTCAATTCTGGGTGCGAATTTTGTTGGAACTTCCAATTTAGAATCTGACCATAACTTGCCCTTAGAAATGCCCAAAAATTTGCTTTGTTTTGTGCTTAATTCCCACGGTACCTACTACCACATCGCATCATGGTTTTACTAAACTTTTAGGTATTGTTTTCCTATTCTAAAACCTCTTGTTATCGCTTTATTTTACTGCTGAAATCTTGCTTTGTTAACCTCAGCTCTTTCAACTGGAACCTTTATTGAATCACATGTTTTTCTTGCTTAAATTCGGTATAAAATAGCTCCAAACAATCCAGAAATTTTAGCTATGGTTAGTTGTTGTTGTAACTTGATTTTTTTCTTGTTTTCATGCTAGAAAGTATGCAATTATGTTAGTTAAATTCTACCTTTCTGCATTTGGTTTTGAATGTAGTTTTTTGCACTTAAATTGTGCTATTTTGTCTTGAAAAGTTCCATTGTTTTGGCTGCCTTTCTGTTGCTGCATTTTTGCTTGAATGTTGTCCATTTCTGCCTAGTTTTGGCTTGTATCATGCATTGTTTTGCTGCTATTTTTACCCAAAAAATTCTTGTTGTTCAGAGCTTTTTCCAAGTATTTTGAGATTGTTTCAAACAATAGAAACCCCCACCTTGCTGCCCATAATTTCTACTAGTGTCCAGGATATTTTTGAGCTCGATTTCTCATATTTTTTCAGTTTGTTTTGTTCAGTAAATCTACTTGGTAAATCTGCCATATGCAATGTCTTTTTGGAGCTATTTTAAACATATTAATATGTTAGTAAGGTTTCAAAGGGTTAAGGTGATCGAGAGGTGTAGGAGGAAGCCATTTTTTTGGTTGGGAATTTGATACTGGAATTAGGAACCAATTTAGTTAAATGGGGTATGTTATAATCTTATTTATTCATTTGATGTGGTATATGTTCTAAATCACCTCAACAGCCTTGAGTGCTTGAATTTTTGCTTGTTGTATACCTACTAGGTGAGGTAATTAGTAAAACTATGGTAAATGCCCTTAGATTTTAAAATAAAGGTTTCAAAAGCATATTTTGAATTGTTTTTGAAGTGGTGGTAGGACCTAAACTGATTTTTATTAGCACATAAGCATGACTGGCTTGAAATGAAGTTGTTATCATTTTTATTGAGTTAAGCATGCCTATATAGAGTTTACTTGATTGTCTTGATGATCTAAATTTTTACTTGTAAGTTATGAATTTTCCTATTAACTCCTGTATATTTGTAAATTATGAATTTTCCTGTTGAACTCTTGTATGGTTTTGTCTCCAATATGGTCATGATTCTTGAAGCTTGCCAATGGGAGTTGTAAACACTAACACATGTTGACATGTATATCTGAAGGATTGGTTCATTCTACATTTTTATTATCCTACATGTGGGAGAGTACCTTGGTATCTTGCTAGTGGGATGGTATATTGGTAAGTCTGTTATCTTGCTAGTGGGAAAGTGCATTGGTATCCTACTAGTGGGAGAGTGCATTGGTATCCTGTTAGTGGGATGATACATTGCTAATTTTGTTAACATGCCAGCTGGGATAGTACACTGGCCATGACTAATTGAGGGGACCATTAAATAAATTTCTTTATGTATGAATAATTTACCACTAAGATTTTCTTCATGTTTAAAATTAAAATGTTTATCTAGCAATGATTTTTGATCCACTTCTTACTACTTTTTATACATCTTTGGCTTTTTCTCCATCTAGTAATAGCAAGGATGGCAAGTGCTAGGGTACGGGCGAGAGACGTGGCAACCAGGGATGGGGGCAATTCCAGGCGGTAGCAATTTAGGGATGTGCATAGGTGGCGCGTACCAAGTTTCGATAGTAGTTTCCTTGGGCTAGTAACAACATTTTTCTTTTATAACTTTCCTGAGAAGTGTACAGCAAAGGATCTATGGCATAGTTTTCAGACGTATGGTAAGGTCATTGACGTTTAAGGGTGAAAATAGCAGGTAATTTACAGAGAAGGAATACTGTAGAGAAGAAAGATGTGGTGGCAGGAAAAACACATAATACAGGACGAGGTATGTACAGAGTGGTACAGCTAGGTCAATCCTATGCTCAGGCAGTAGCCAGACCAGTTTTGATAGGAGTAGGGAATCAGATGGTAGAGAGAGTCGAGGAGAAAGAGGATCAACAATAGAAAGTTGAGCATAATGGATTAGAGTCTGGAATTCAATATCCGGGGAAAGAAGAGGTGGCCTCATACCACGAGAACAAAAAGGAAGAATAGGAAACCAACAAAACTGTTGTTGAATTTTTTCCTAGGGCAGATGAGTATGCATGGCTTGAAGGTAGTATGGTGGCAATGGTGAAATCAATAGTCGAAATAACATGCATACAAGAGAGGCTAGATGTGGATGGCGGCTTGATTACAATATCTCCACTTGAGGGGTGAAGAGTTCTATTGTTAGAAAGAGCAAAAGGGTATTTAGAGGAATTCATAAAAAATAATGTGGAACTAATTGATCTTTGGTTTGAAACACTACAACCATGGATCCAATCATCTCATGTGTAGTAGACTTGTTTGGTTGCGTATAGTAGGGGTACCCTTGAAGGCATGGAGCGAGAGATGTTTTGTTGAAATAGCAACCACAATGGGTGAGGTGATAGTAATCCATGAAGATACAAGGAAGAAAACCTTTCTGTGTGATGGTAGAGTTTTAATTCTTAGCTCAGACATGAACACAATAGCAACAAGTATTAGCTTGAAGGTTGACGGACAATTGTTTGAGCTACAGGTGATGGAGGAAGAATGGAGAGTTGATCCTGACTGGTGGTTGTTTGATGACGACCAGCAAAGTGAGATAGGGACAAAATTAGGATTTCTCTTTGAGCAGGATTGCTACGGAGAAGATGGAATCAAAGATGGCAAGATTGGTGGTGGATATGGGGATAGTATTGATGATACACAATCAATAACGGATGATGAATTGACAGAGAATTCAGTGGAGGGAGTTGCAAATTTGAATTTTGAAATATTAAACCAAGTGAAAGGAGATGGAGATGATGGGCCTGTGAGTGCAATTGGGCTTGGGGATTCAAGGCGTGATGGGCTAGAGATGGGTTTCAAGGAACCAAATCAGAAAGGAGTAAAAGATAAGGAAAATGTGTTGAATGAGGAATTGGCAATGGAATTTCCTTCAGTAAAAGGACAAGGTTTAATCGACTTTGTGAATAAAAAATGGAAAAATATAAAGGATTGTTATCTAGAAGATGTGGTGGTAATTAGGAAAGCGAAAGCACAGTGGGTCACAGCAAAGACAAAGCAGTGAACAGAGAGGAGGGCAAAGGTACAGCAACTTGCCGCAAGGGAGAGAACGCAAACAGAAGGCATATCTCTATCTGATGGGTGCATCGCACACAGGAATAGAGTGATACAGCGCGAGATGAATCTTCAAGAGGTAAGAAAAATTATTAGTATAGGCAAAAGGTTGGGTATTCATTTACAAGATAACGAGGAGGAGGTGCAATCTTGATTGATGGAAGGTGAGGAGCGGGAGGATGTCGAAAGGATGGTTTGCAAAGGAAATTAAGGGGTTGGTTTTAGAAGAGAATTGATGTGAGTCTTGCTTTTCATGAAACTTGTTTCTTTTAATGTTAGGGGTTTAGGAGGAAGGTTGAAAAGAAAGGAAGTTGGGAAATTGTTGAGGAAGGAGCCGTCAGATTTCTCATTTTTATAGGAGACTAAGCTAGTGTTGGTTGATTTTGAGCTATGTAGAGTGCTTTGGAATTTGGATGGGTTTGATTAGGTTGCAAAAGGAATCGGATGGTGCTACAGGAGGTATATTATGTGGTTGGAATAAATTAAAATTTGTTAAACATATGGAGTTTTAGGAGAAAGGTACATAGGCATTTTAGGGGATTAGGGTCTTGAGAAGAAAAGGTGTTATTTTGTGAATGTGTATACACCTAATGATAGACAGAAAAAGGTAAAATTGTGGAAGGAGCTTAGTCGGATGATTGTAGAGGAGGGTGGCCGGTGGATGATTGCTAGGGATTTTAACGCAGTTCGTTGTGTGGAAGAAAGAAAAGGTATGGGGATTTTAATGCAATTCGTTGTGTGGAAGAAAAAAAAGGTAGAATAAGGGAGACTCCAAAGATGAAGGCTTTTGATCAATTCATTACAACAACAGGCTTGGTAGATGTCAGTTTAACAAATCAAAGATTTACATGGTATCGACCGGACGGGACTTCCATGAGCAGGATCGACAGAGTACTTATGACTATTGAGATGAGTAATATGGGTAGCAATTGGGTACAACAGCGTATTCAAAGGTCTATTTCAGATCATTGTGCCATCATTATGACATCGAGGAGCGTAGATTGGGGTCCAAAACTATTTTGTGTGTTAGATGTTTGGCAGCAACGTCTTGAATTCAAAGATTTGGTGAACAAGAGCTGGAATGAGTTGAAGGTTGAAGGAGATGCAGGTTATAGATGCAAACAGAAACTGAAGAGTTTAAAAGGTATATTAAAGAGATGGAACATAGAGGTGTTTTGCGATGTAGAAGAGCAATTTCAAAGGTCTGCAAAATAGGTAAAGCAATTGGATTTGAAGAATGAAATTTTTGATTTAGATAATTGGGAGGTGAATTAGAGAAAAGAAGGGTTTCAGGAGATGTGAGATATTATGAGAAAAAGAGAAGCTATATGGAAACAGAAATCTCGGAGTAATTGGATTCAATTGGGCGATGCTAATATGAGATACTTCCAAAGAATAACAAAAGGATGCCAAGCTCAAAATAGTATCACCAGCATTTTGTGTGATGGTAGATGGGTAGTTGAGCTAGAATTGGTGAAGAAGGAGGTAGTTCAATATTTTCAAAATTTATTTCGAGCAGATTCATGGAATCGTCCAAGGTCAAGAGGTATTAGTTTTAAACAGATTTTTGAGGAATGTAGAGAGTGGTTAGAGAAACCATTCTTAGTGGAAGAAATTGAAGAAGCTTTGAAGAGCTGTTAAGGATCTAAAGCTCCAAGTCTAGATGGGTACAACTTTAATTTTATTAAGTTTGCATGGGATACTTCAAAGGGTGACTTTGTGGAGTTCTTTATGGAATTTCATCAGCATGGAAGGTTAGTGTGAGGCCTAAACTCATCTTTTTTAGCTTTGATACCTAAGAAGTTATGCTCGAGGGAACTTAGGGATTATAGGCCAACAAGTTTAATTGGTTGCTTATATAAATTGCTAGCAAAGGTGTTGGCTAATTGTCTCAAACAACTGTTGCTAGAGATTATTAGTGTGTCTCAATCTGCTTTTTTAGGAGGGCGGCAATTGGTAGTTAGTGTTTTAGTTTTGAATGAAATTGTGGATGAGGTCAAAAGGAAAAAGCAACCAACTTTTGTTTTTAAAGTTGATTTTGAGAAGACTTAAAGCTGATTTTAAGAAGGCTTATGGTTGTGTGGATTGGTCATTTTTGGATTGGATGATGGATAGGTTCGGTTTTGGGGTGAAGTGGAGAGGATGGATTATGGAGTGTTTATCAACTGCAACAGTATCAGTTTTAGTAAATGGTAGTCCAACAAAAGAGTTTCAAGTAAGGAAAGGGTTGAGACAAGGAGATCCATTATCTCCTTTTCTTTTCCTAATGGTTGGTGAAAGATTACATGGAATTGTCAAACAAGCAGAAATTGAGGGTTTGTTGCGTGGGGTAAAAATTGGTAAAAGGGGAATGGTTGTTTCTTTACTTTAGTTTGCTGATGATACAGTAATTTTGGGCCATGCGGACAGTGAGAATTTGCATATGGTGAAAATTATTTTAAGATGGTTTGAGTTGATGTCGAGCTTGAGAATCAATTTCAGTAAGAGCAGTGTTTATGGTTTTAGTGTTTCAAACAATTGGCTAAAGGGGGCAACAAGTGTTTTGAAACACGGGCTTGGGTCTGTACCTTTCATTTATCTAGGATTGCTTATTGGGGCTAATCCAGGGACAAGAAGGATATGGGAACCAGTTGTTAACAGAGTTTGGTCCGAACTCGCTGCTTGGAAAAATGCCATCTTGTCCTTTAGAGGTCGCCTTACTCTGCTAAACTCGGTACTTACTACCATTCTTGTTTTTTATTTGTCCTTATTTTTATTGCCTAATTGTGTGATTGATGAGTTAATTGGCATTCAGAGGGATTTTTTGTGGGGGAGACCTGAGCTTAAGAGAAAAATCCCATGGGTTAAATGGGATCTTGTCTATTACACTAAGAAGATGAGGGGTTTGGGGGCTTTTGATTTAAGTAGAAGAAATTGGGCTTTGCTTGGTAAGTGGTGGTATAGACTAGGCTATAGGTCATGCGGATTATGGAAACAAGTGTTATGGGAGAAATATTATGGGGGGGGAGACAGAGGTGGATATTACTGTTGTGGAGGGTCTATGTATTTCTCGTATTAGGAAGGCCATCATTAGTATTGGAAGGAGATCAAAAAAATTAAGAGATATGTTTGTGAAAGGGTTTAGGTGGGAGGTAGGGGATGGGCAATATGTGAGCTTTTGGAGGGATAAATGGGTAGCTAATAAAATGTTAAGGGATGTGTGTCCTAGGTTATTTGAGTTGGCAATGAACAAGGATGGCAAGCTTTGGGAGATGGGAGTGTGGGAGGGAGATTGTTGGAGATGGAGGTTGGATTGGTGAAGGCAAAGAATAGGTAGAGAGTTAAGTGAGGAGGGGGTTTTGTGGGAGTTGTTGGATAGTGTGGTTTTGAGAAAGGGTAGGGTAGATAATTGGAAGTGGGTACATGGTGCAGATGGTGTCTATGAAGTCAAGAAAGCTTATGCTTTCTTAGATTCTGGTGATAGAATGCTTGCTAAGTAGGTGTGTAAGTTAATTTGGTGCAAATATGTTCCCTCAAAAGTCAATTTTTTTGGTTGGAGATTATGCTTAGATAAACTGGCCACAAAAGTTAACTTACAACGAAGGGGGGTAGTTTTGGAAAGGGTGGAGTTGTTGTGTTGTTTGTGTAAGGAGCAAACCGAGGAGAGTGATAATTTATTTTGTACTTGTCATGAATCTTGGTTGGTATGGATGCAGGTGTTAAAGTGGTGGGGTGTGGAGGGGGTGTTGCCGAATACAATGGATGGAATAGCAGATTTTTTTCTATTTGAATTGGGAAGGCTTGTAGGAAGAGAGATGGGTTCTTGCATTTCTTTTTTTTTTTTTTTTTTTGGTATCTTGTTATATTTGGTATTGGGGGAATAGTATAGTATTTAATAATGAGAGAAATTTGGGATAGCAAGTGTTGGATGCGGTACAAGTTAAATCCTTTGTCTGGCTCAAACACAAGGTGCAAGGGTGTGTTTTTTCATTTTATGACTGGCAATTAAACCCAGTGGGTTGCGCGTTGGCTATTCAAAGGAACAAAAGGTGTTTGAAAAAATTTCAAAAACAACATAAGCATGTGGATGCAAGTTTTGAAGTAAGGGCTATTTGAGCATGTAATATTTGTTTTGTTTTATCTATGATTCCATTTAAGTAGTTGCAATTGGTATGTGCAGTGTATTTAAATGGGTAGGAGTACCCCTTGTACTCCATTTTTCTTAATAAAGTTAATTTTGTTGATCAAAAAAAAAAAAAAAAAAAAAAGCTTATCTAGCATGCTTTAAATTTCAGTGAAGGCTATCCATATTTTTATCACTTAGTTTTTTTTTTTCCTCATCCACCATTTCAGGTAGCGAGACCAAGGATACGGGAAACCAAGGGGAGTGCCGAGCTAAAAGGCTAGCCATTTGTATTTTGGACTTAGATTATTTTGGAGTTAGGTCGCTAGTCCAATATATATTTTTTGGACATAGATATTGGAAGATAGATCATTCTTTTGTAGACTAAATCCCCTTGGAGATAGTCATGACCTTGTTGATTGAGTTGTATAATTTTTGTGCACTTTTGGCCTAGTCAAACTTTGGTTATTGAATGTTTGATTTTACTTGAAATTTGGATCTCAGTTTATGTGGATTGCTAGTTATGAATTAAGTAGGTTTTGAGCTTTGTGCATTTGTAGGAGTCTCTCACAAGTGTACAGTGTCTATTTCGCTTTCGGTTTTAGGGTGTGACAAAAACTTTGACCAAGGTTCTAGATCTAACCGAGTTTTTTTTTTTTTATCAGCAAAAATAATTTATTATAAAGGTACAATGGGTACCTCAAACCCATTGCATCTACTAAGTATAGAACCATCCAAAAACATATTTGCAATTATATAATACAAACATCAACTAAATCCTATCTAATTATCATAGCACAATCAATAGGATTATTTTCCCATTCATAAAAAGTGGAAATAAAACCCTTAGCATTTCCTTTTAGCCACAAGAAAGATTTGAATTGAATATTCACAAAGGCATCCTCCACTGAGGTCTCTTGAGCTTTGAAAATAATATTATTGCGTGCATTCCATAGAGACCATGCTATGGTTAAAAATAGATATGACCAGATGTTCCTTGTTCTTGCCTTGCTCATGCGCAGCACTATTTGGTTATAAGCCTCCTGTATTGACTTTGGTAACATGCCATAGAATCCCACCACTTTAGGCATTTCATCCACACCTGGTGCATGAACCTGCATCTAATAATAATGTGCGCCAAGTCTTTTGCCTCTTCATTACATCTTACACAGATGATGTTTCCATCACTCACATGAATGCCTTTTCATTCCAAGTTCATTTTAGTTGGTAACCTATCCAAAAATAGTCTCCATGCAAAAAAACAAACTCTTTCAGGCAAAAATTTATTCCATATTGCTTTGCATAAGTCACTATCCAACACTCTTTGATTGTCAATTAGCATTGAGATAGCCTTCCTCACATAATAGTTTCCACTTTGATCATGTTTCCAAATTCTTCTATCTCCTACTCCCTCCCTTACCATTACTCCTTCTAACTGTGTTAATAATGATATCTCCTCTTCTCTAGCTCTCCATACTAACTCCCTTCTCCAATCTGTCTTCCATCTCCAAACCCCCTTACACCACTCCCCCATCTCTCCAACTTTTATATCAACATTCTTTGCCACATTTTT